GGGGGGACCCGGGGTCTCCCTGTGGCCAATCGCCGAGTACATCCAGTTCACTTCCAGGTTGACTGCTGAGCACGTGGAGGGCCGCCCGCACTCCTGTGGGATGCTGCATGCGCCCCAGCATTGCAGCGATCACGAGCTGCACTTGTCCCGCGAGGTACGTAGAAAAACCATTTAAAGCTGTGCCTGTGTCTGAATCGCTGATTCTCCGAATCAGCATCGAATCTTCAGATTCGGATTCAGCTGAATCAAACTGGAGGCAGTGATCTGAATCAATGGATCGAATCACTGTCCCTGAATTGGACCGAATCTGCACATCCCTACTCAGCATAACAAGTCATTTCTTCCTTAGAGGGGTGATGGAGAAATACCACTTTTATTCCATGGATTTACTAGGGGCCAAGCGTAACAGGTTTTCTCCATCTCCCTTGGCAGAGAGATGGAGAAAGACACTTGTGCTTTGTCAGGAGCAAGGTGAGGGTTTCAAATTGAAACCCTAAAGTTACCTAGGAGAGAAGAAGCGTGGCCCTGGCCTCTGGTGTACTGCAGAGCATTTGTATCGGTACTCGTTTCTTTAGAGCCATGAGGGCGAAGAAGTCCTGGGAATCGGAGTCACTTCTGATGGAGAGCCAAGGAGACAGGCTACCCTGTGTGCCTCTGCATGTCAGGGGGTCTACTTACTTGGACCTCTTTGTTTTTCCTCAAAGCAACGTGAACGTTTTTCAGGGTGACAGAAACAGAGTTCAGCGCCGTCCAGGCCGGGCTTCCTCTGTGTTCATTTCTGGTGGTCACAGAGAACGGCTCGGAAGAATTGTCGCAGGGCTGGACGACGGTATAATTGCATTCGCCTTGGAAGTGGTAGAGTCTCCCGTCAAAGGTGACGTAGTGAGGGTCCCCGTAGATGTGGCAGGTGGCGGTGTCTGGCGGGTAGCATCCCAGGATTCCCTTCTGCACCTTGCAGATGCGGTCCGCTTCACACGTCTCGTTACTGCAAGTGACAGTGCCGTTCTCAGCGCACGTGCATTTGCCCTTGCAGTCGGTTTGCCAGAAGGTTTCGTCTTTCTGTCAGGGACAACCCAATAAAGACCCTGTTAAGAGCCCAGGTTCACCCGCACGAGGAAACGACCCCGAATCCCACACCGCGCCCTGAACACACCTTATAATATTTGCCCTGATGGAGGCAGCCACAGTCCCTGATGGGGACGCACTGCTCCCCGCTGAGAACGAAGCCGGTGTTGCACTCGCAGCCCTCCACGCAGGGCTTGCTGCAGTTGCTTGGGGCCATGGGGTCGAAGCAGGTGGCAGGACAAGCACTGGTGTATGGATTGTAATGACTGTTGCCAGGGCACGGGAGTGCTGGAAAACACACACAGGAGGCACTAACTCATGGCCCTGATGCACAGCACCGCCTAGACCAGGCCATCGGGCTTTCGCTAAAAACCCTAAACCCCAGGACACCCTAAGAGCGAAGAACCCCAGAGTCACTATTTCAGGCCCAGGACACGCAAGAACAATTCGGTTCCAGTAAAGAGGGACGTAAAACCGAGCAACTCCGTCCACTTCCCCTTAGCTATGGGAGCCTTCCATAACATAACGAACCAACTTCATACGTCTCCATGCCGTGCCTAATTCTTCCGGGGACATCTCCACCCATTCCCCTGCAGAGTCATTAGAAAGACCTTATGGATGTACTAAGCATGGACCCTTGGCTATCTCTGACCTCAAGAGGAGGTGGAAAACACATTTGGCAGAGTCAGGCCTGACGGCTGCTGCCTTTTCTATGGGTTGACCAAAGACGGGGGACTTTCTTTCCTGCCAACAGCGTGTCATATTTCCGAGAAGAGGCATCAACTGTAAGCAGGGCGTGACACAGGTATGGGGGACACCCTCGAGAACACCAGAGGGTTGCTCAGACATTGGATTCCCTGCAGATACTCACGGCAGAAGGTGGTGTTTCTCCAGCGAGGCAGCATCACCCCGGCCCCCTGACAGGCAGCCGCGTAGGCCTCCAGAGCGCCACACAGCTGCTGCTGGCTGCCGTTCAGGGCACACAGGTCAAACACGCAGCTTTCCGCGAAGCTCTCGGGGTTGATCACCGAGTGACAGGCCACAAAGGCCCCCACCTGGCTGGTCATTATGCCGCAGTACTGCGCGCTCTGGTAGAGCCTCTCCTGCTCTGCAGTGCACGGCGGGGCAGGCGGGGCGGTGGGGGGCGGGATACTGCAGGAGGGGTCGCCGTCCTCCACTTTCCAGCTCTCTCCCAGCTCGTTGGAGTTGGCGGCTTGCTGTCCGTCCGGCTTCATGTACTCGTCGTCTCTGCGCCCGTTGAAGTTCCCGCACATGCCGCAGGTCCGGCTGGAGTAGGTGGAGGGCACCTTCACCTCCACTGAGTGGTCCGTGTCGTAGGACACGCTCAGCCCAAAGTCTGTCTCCAGGACCGTGTAGCGCCCGCTGCGGCTCACTTGGACAGAGCGTCCCACTGTTCTCACCGGGAGGGTTGTCCACTCTCCATTCACCTAAGGGTAGGAAAGGGAAGTTGCCTTCTTATTTTACCCAGCCGTGACCTAGGACTCTTGCAAGGAAACTGAAGCATTATAACAATCATGTCACTCCAAATCCTACGGTGCAGGAGAATCAGAAATGTTTCCTTTGTCTTCTCATCTTCTAGGGAGGGTCTCTCCCTAGAAACACCCGCTCCCCAGGGCATGGCTCAATGCCCCTCACAGAATATAGCCCTAGCTCTTTCATTAGAAGGGCATATACTGGAGAACTACCGGTAAGAGGATCTGATCTATGCGGAGCTTGAAGAAGTTGCTTGAAGAAAGCCATAAGGGAAGCCAGAAGAAAGAGACCTTCGGGAAGCCTGAGTCTGCAGTGTGCTGCAGCCACACAAAAGGTGAATTTGGTTTTGGGATTCACGAACAGAAGCATTAAGTGCAAGACACAGGAGTTCACTGTGCCTCTCTACTTGGCACTGGGGAGGCCTCATCTAGTGCAGTGGTTCCCAACCATTTTAGACCGTAGACTGGAAGTCACTGCAGACCGGAAGTGACTGGCATACCGTGAACTGGCAGTCAAGCCTTTTTTATACGGAGTATATTTATAAAGATATATATAACTATATACTCTGTACAAAAAAGGGTTGGATGCCGGTCCACAGTATGCCGCTCACTTGTGGACTTCCTGTCTGGCAGGCAACCCTCCTGTGGCCCGGGGGTTGGGAACCTCTGATCTAGAGCATTGTGTGAAGTTTTGGCCCCCATATTTTTAAGAGGCACGTGGAAAAGGTAAAGAGAGTCCAGAGGTGGGCACCAAAAATGCTCAGTGGCTTGGAAGGCAAGTCCTGCGAGGAGAGGCTGAAGGAGCTTGGCATATTTAACTCTTAGAAAAGGAGTTTAAGAGGGGACATGACAGCAGCCCTCAAATATTGAAGGGTTGCCACACAGAACAGGGAAAGCACCTTTTCTGTCTTGCTGCAGAGAGGAGGACATGGACCAGAAGCTGGAAGCTGCAGCAGAGCAAGTTTACATTGGATATCCAGAAACGCTTATTCCTTGTCAAAATAGTGAAGCATTAGAAGAGATGCCTATGGCAGGGGTAGACTCCATCACTGGAGATGTCAAGAGGAGGTTGAACAGCACTGGTAAGGGATGATCTAGGTACGGTGATGGCTGTGGTCTACAATGGGGATATCCCAGCCTTCTAGGCTTTGCCAGCTGCTTCCTCCCCTCCATGCTCTTCTCTTCTGCCACATGTGTCAGGTAAGACTTCCTGGAGGCATTGGGTGTTGGCTGCAGCCCAGGCAGGGGACTTTGACTGAGCTGTGCCAGTGCTTCTGTTGGGAACAAAGCCAGAGGTTCCTGGCTAGCGGGTCTTGGCACCTCTGCGTAAGGTCAACAGATGCCATATTTGAGGTCAGGGAGCAGTTTTACTGCCTGGTTAGGTTGGTATGGATTGCGGGGTTTACTTTCTCCAGTGTTGCTGGGGACATGACCTCCACGTGGAACCTCCTGAGCATATACGGCCAGTATTTCATAGAAGTAGAAGATTGGCTGCTGTGGTTCCTATACTTTCCCTGCAGCGGGTTCAGGGCTGAGGTGTGTGTTGCATCGGAGATGAGGGTAGTCTTATGTAGAGTTTAAATCCTGCTTTATAGGGGATGGTTTGGATAGGAGTGATCCTGCCTGAGGTAGGGGGGTGGGCTAGATGACCTCTGGAGGTCGCATCCAGCCCTATGCCTCCATGACTGTAAGCTCTGGTACTTACCAGGACTCTGTTGCGATGGTTCCTCACGATGTCTATGCGCAGCCCGTAGACTTCGACTCGCACCCTCTGCACGTAGGACACCCAGGGGTTCCCGCGATGCTCATTCTTGGCCTCCACGTTGAAGACGGGCAGGGCGCTGTCATTGCCACACACCTTGGCCAGCGTGTAGGTGCAGGTGCCCATGAAGTGGTGAGTCACCTTGTCGAATGTGTTGTAGTGCGGGTCGTTGTGCACTCGGCAGACTCCGTAGGTGTAGCGGTAACAGCCAGGCACGCCATTCTGCAACCCACAGTAATGGGCTGGAGGGCAGGAGGCCACAGCACAGGTCAGCTTGCTGCCTGCAGCGGGGCACCTGCATTTCTTGGAGCAGGTATCGTCGGTCCAGAACTCAGAGCCAATTGGGTAGTGACGGTCTTCATGCCAGCACCCGCACTGCCCGCTGGGGACACACCGGTCATTGTAGAGCAGGTAACCGCTGTCGCACACACACCCTTCCACACACGGCAGGCTGCACGTGGATGGAGCCGTGGGGCGGGCACAGGTTTGCGGGCAGGCGGTCGTACAAGGCTCGTAGTGACTATTGGCAGGACACTGGATTGCTGTGGGAAACAAGAGAAATATATTGTGCTTGGGAACTGCTGTGCTAATGGACTCTTCTGGTCACCTGACAAGCACTGGACAGGGCATTTTTAGTGTCATCCGAATCCATCTCCATGCCTACTTAAGCACGGTGAAAACATGGTTGGTTCTACTCCCTGAGCACCAGACAATGACACCAGTCTTGTGTCGTACAAAGACGACCTACCAGTGGTTCAGAGCAATGGCAAGAGAGCAGGATGCAACTTAATCATTCAAGGGAAGAGCCTGTCCTTGGAAGTCTTGGAGTTTCCCAGGTCCAACCCTTCCTGGCTCACGCCTACTACTTATGGGCCAGTAGGAGCCTAGAAACATGGAAGAGGCCCTGGGCATTTGTTTCCTGACTCACGGCAGAAGGTGGCGTTCCTCCAGGCATCGATGGTGACTCCCAGGGACTGGCAGGCGTCCGCGTACGACTGCAGGCTCCGGCACAGGGCCCCGGGCTCCAGTTGCAGCGCACACAGGTCGTAGGCACAGTTGTTGAAGTATGCGTCAGGGCGGAGCACACCGTGGCACTGCTTGAACGGGCCGGTCCCCTCCTTGAGGAGCCCGCAGAATTGACTGCTCCCAATCAGCTGCTGGGTGGTCTGGTTGCATATAGGGGGCTTATCTACAGCTGGAGGGCAACTGAGAAAAAACCAAAGAGAGAGGCGGCTCAGGTTGGTGCAGGGCTTTCCTTGTACAGTGCACTCTGCCTAGATGGCACCAAGGTTGCCGGCAGCATTACCTACCTGCTGTGGTTGGAGACCTGCCAGCTGTTGCCCAGGCTGGTCGAGTCCAGCTCCATCCCACCCTGGGGATTCAGGAAGTCATCCCCTGGTTTCCCGTTGTAGTTCCCACACATCCCGCACACTTGTGCTTTAAAGGAGCTTGGCAGTGTCACTTCCACGCGATGGTTCCCATCAAATCTCACTCTCAGACCGAAATCTGTGGTCACCACCACGTACATGCCGCTGGAGGAGACTGTAAGACCTGTGGATGGCTCCAAGGGCAGAACAGAACCTCCCGCTTCCCGTCCACCTGGGAAGCAGAAAGGGCACCGGGGTTGGAACCGGCAGGCTAAGAGGCACCTCCCTCCTCACCCTTTCCCATCACTCGGATCTCACCGTCACCACTCTGCCCTGCTCTAAAGTGATCCTGTGGCTGTACACATCCACCGCCACGTCGCGGATGTAGGACACGTGCGTGTAGCCTCCGCGGTACTCATTGGTGGCCTCCACGTTGAAGTTGGGCAGCGTGCTGTTGGGCGCGCACAGCTTGGACAGGGTGTAGGTGCAGTTCCCCATGAAGTGGTGCAGTTGCTTGTCAAAGGTGAGGTAGTGAGGGTCTCCCTCCGCCACGCAAGAATCTGCAGGGCACAGCACACAACACGCCCCAGGGATTAAACCCATGCCGCCACCACTTCTCCCCCTTCTACAGACAGATTCATCATTGGGGAGGTACAATGCTGGGATTTGGCTCGTGGCAGACCACATCACTCCAGCAGTTTCCTTGTCTCCTGCTCACGCATGCCCTTGTCTAGGGTTTTAGGCATTGATTTAGACCCTGGGTCGGAATCTGCCCCCACTGACAGAGGAGTGCGCAAGGTAACCAGACTGGTACAGAGAGACCGAGTCGCAGAGACACCGACTAAGACGTCACGAGCACTTGGGAAAGAAGTTTCTGGAGGGAACTCACCTGAACTGGTCAAGGGGAGTGCGGTAGCTGTTTCTGGAGTTGAAGTCCAGATAGTGGTAGAGATAGTAGGGGGGATGCTGGTGGAGAGGGTGGTGGAGATGTCTGTGGGGGTGGGCATGGTCGTTGATCCTGGCCCTGGAATGAAGCACCCGCGCTGGCCATCCTGCAGCTTGCAGACCTCCTCGGGACCACAGGAGAAGGCGCTGCAGTTCATCTGCCCGCTGCCCAGGCACTCGCACCGGCGTGTGCAGTCCTCCGTCACCACAATCTGGCCTTCCTGTGGGGGAGACACGGGACGGGGATACAAAGCACGGTGGTTACTGATGGGAACCTGGGCCACAGGATGCCACCCCCAGCCAGCATGCACGCGGGACAGCTGCACTCACGCTGTAGTATCTGCCGTCCCACATGCAGCCGCACCGGGCCTCCGGCACGCAGTCCCCTCCGCTGAGCACAAACCCGGTGTTACACACGCAGCCCTCCACGCACGGCTTGCTGCAGTTCTGGGGGGCCAGGCGGTCCACGCACGTGGCCGGGCAGCCAGTGGCGCAGGACTCATAGTGGGCATTGAGCGGGCACGCGGGAGCTGCAGGAGGGAGAGGAGGGGAGAAGGTTTAAGGCCCAGGCTTCCCCCTCTGGAAACATGCCCGAGTGCAGACAGACACTGCCGGGGGGGCCCCACCAGTCTGCGGCATCCAAGGAGATGCATCGCGGTGCTGATGCAAGACCCAACGCTCCAGCTTTGCTACTCACTGCAGAAGGTGGCGTTTCTCCAGGCAGGCAGCATCACCCCGGCCCCCTGACAGGCAGCCGCGTAGGCCTCCAGAGCGCCACACAGCTGCTGCTGGCTGCCGTTCAGGGCACACAGGTCAAACACGCAGCTCTCCACGAAGCTCTCGGGGTTGATCACCGAGTGACAGGCCGTAAAGGCCCCTGGTCGGCTGCTCATCATGCCGCAGTACTGCGCGCTCTGGTAGAGCCTCTCCTGCTCTGCAGTGCACGGCGGGGGAGGTGTGGCGGTGGGGGGCGGGATACTGCAGGAGGGGTCGCCGTCCTCCACTTTCCAGCTCTCTCCCAGCTCGTTGGAGTTGGCAGCTTGCTGTCCGTCCGGCTTCATGTACTCGTCGTCTCTGCGCCCGTTGAAGTTCCCGCACATGCCGCAGGTCCGGCTGGAGTAGGTGGAGGGCACCTTCACCTCCACTGAGTGGTCCGTGTCGTAGGACACGCTCAGCCCAAAGTCTGTCTCCAGGACCGTGTAGCGCCCGCTGCGGCTCACTTGGACAGAGCGTCCCACTGTTCTCACCGGGAGGGTTGTCCACTCTCCATTCACCTAAGGGGAAGGAAAGGGAAGATTTCATAGATTTCATAGACATTAGGGCTGGAAGGGACCTCGGAAGATCGAGTCCAGCCGTCTGCCTGAAGGGCAAGAAGTCAGCTGAGGTCATAGGATCCCAGCAAGATGAGCATCCAATTTACTCTTGAAGGTGTTCAATGTAGATGCTTGAACCACCTCCAATGGCAGGCTGTTCAAGACCTTGGGGGCTTGGACAGTAAAGAAATTTTTCCTTATATTCAACCTGAAACGATCTTGCAGTAGTTTATAACCGTTTGACCTCATCATCCCTTGGGGCGCTCTGGTGGACAAACGTTCCCCCAGATCCTGGTGGTTACCCCAATAATCTTATAGGTGGCCATCAGATCACCCCTGAGCCTGTGCTTTTCCAGGCTAAAGAGCCCCATGGCTCTCAGACTGTCATTGTAAGGTCTGTTATTCTGACCTCTGATCATGTGCGTGGCTCTTCTCTGCACTCTCTCAAGCTTCTCCACATCTTTTTTGAATTGTGGAGCCCAAAACTGGACGCAGTACTCCAGCTGTGGCCTCACCAAGGCCGAGTACAAGGGGAGAATGACGTCCCGGGATTTGCTTGAGAAGCATCTATGGATGCAAGCCAG